AAACTAAGCATTCAATTAAGTAATACATTCCATTAATATTTGAGTGCCTACAATGCACTATACCTAAAAATACCATGGTAAACAAATAGTCCCAGCCGTCATGGAGATAAAAATGATCTAATGTTAAAATGTCATGAGTAAGAGAAGATGCTCAGCATTACTAAACATTAGAAAAATGCAAATCAAAACCATGAAACTGTCCAGCTGGTGTGGCTCAGTGGCTGAGCATCAACCCATGGAACAAGAGGTTGCCAGTTTGATTTCTGGTCAGGGCACATGCCTGGGTTGCAGGCTTGATCTCCAGTAGGAGGTGTGCAGGAGGCAGCCGATTGATGTGTCTCTCTCATCGATGTTTTTCTCTCTCTCCCCCTCTCCCTTCCTCTCTCTAAAAATCAATAAAATATATTTTTAAAAAAACAAAAACAAACACATGAAACTACTTCATAATAATACGATGGCTAGCCCTGGCTGGTTTGGCTCAGCGGTCAGAGCATCAGCCTGCGGTCCAGAGAGACCCAGGTTCGGTTCCCGCCAAGGGCATGTACCTCGGTTGCAGTTTGTCCCCAGCCCTGATTGGGGTCGTGTGGGTGGCAGCCACTCGATGTGTCCCTTTCACATCAATGTTTCTCTTCCTCTCCCTTCCTCTCTCTCTAAAAAACAATAAAGGAAAAAATTATAAAAAATAAATAAAAATAAAATAATACGATGGCTACTATAAAAAGAACAGAAAATAAGTGTTGGGAAGGATGTAGAGAAACTGGAAGTCTTGCAAACTGTCAGTGGGAATGTAATAAAATGGTGCAGCTGCTAAAGAAAACAGTATGGTGTCCTGGCCGGTTTGGCTCAGCGGTTAGAGCGTCAGCCTGCGGTCCAGAGAGACCCGGGTTCGGTTCCCGCTAAGGGCACGTACCTCAGTCGCAGTTTGTCCCCGGCCCTGGTTGGTCGTGCGGGTGGCAGCCACTCGATGTGTCTCTTTCACGTCGATGTTTCTCTCTGTCCTCCTCTCTCTCCCTTCCTCTCTATCTGAACAAAAAACGAAAAAGTGTCCTCGGGTGAGGATAAAAAAAAAACAAAACAGTATGGCAATTTCTCAAAAAATTAAAACCAGAATTACCATATGATCCTACAAGTCCACTTTTACGTACATACCTAAGAAATTGCAAACAAAATCTCCAAGAAGTATTTGTACACACATGTTCATAGTAGCATAATTCATAACAGCTAAAAGGGAGAAGCAACCAAAGTATCCATCAACAGATAAATAAATAAGCAAAATGCAGTATATATATACTGTGCCTTAAAAAGAAGTTAAATCGGATACGTGCTACAACATGATGAACTCTGAGGACATTATGCTCTGGTATCTAAAGCAGTCAATTCATAGAGACAAAAAGTAGAATGGTGGTTGCCAGGAGCTGAGGGACTGGGGGAATGGGGAGCTAATGTTTTACAGGTATAGAGTTGCAGTTGCACACAACAAAGAGTTCCAGGGATGGATATGGTGATAGCTGCACAACAATACAAATGTACTTAACCACTAATCTGTGTACTTAAAAATGGTTAAAATCATAAATTTTATCTTTTTGAGTATTTTACCATAATAAAAGCAGAGTTGGAAAAGGAAATTAAAATGCCATGTGCAAATTAAGCATATTTTTACACATTTCCAACTAGAGAAAATGTTACTTAAATTACCTGTAGCTTAGTTACTAAAATTCCCAAAATAGTCTGTGGTATACAAAACCTATTAAACTTAAAAAAAAAAAAAAAAGTTTTCTCTGGAATGCAAATACAATTTCTAATGATTTCACTTAACAGAGGAATGTTATATCAAAATATCTCTGGAACATGGGACAAGATTTGAAAAATGTTCCTGAAACACAACGCACAGTATAGCTTCAAGTTCATTTAAGGGGTATCAAAAACCATAGGTATTTTCAACATTAAATACCAGGCAAATGTGCACTCTCTATGATCTAAAAGTAGCTGTCAAAAACTACTATTTCTCTAAACAAAACAACCCAAGCTGAATGCTACTTTTCATCATCAGTATACAACTGATCCTGAAATAATTAGCTTTGTTAACAATTAAGAGGGGGAGGGGCACTTTCAGTAAGAGGAAGAAAAAAGATACAAGCAGATGGGTTCCATGCAGACCCAGGCTCTATGGGAGTAGAGCTGGAGAGCTCTGTGGCTTTTGTCTTCCAAGCCAATTTTAAAAGGAAAAAAAATACTGGAAAAGAAAACATTGAAAATAACATCATGGCATTAGTTACTATGAAGCCAGAAAGTCAATACTCCTTTTTTGCAAACCTAACATGTACACAGATACATATGGCACATTAATCTAAAATATATTATGTACAGATATTTTTGGAGGTACTTTATTATTTCTTAACAACCCTTAATATGACAAGCAGGAAAATTCCCAAGTAATGAAAGACAATTTCCCCAACATCTGTACCTAATCTCCCCTATTCAACCTCTCTTGAAACAACTGTACATGCCAGTACAGGTAACATTTAAAAATAATAATTTTTCATTGTTTTTATCACAATCTACTACCTCATGTTTTAAAATAACATAACTATTAAATTTCTAAAGGCCCTTTTCTCATACACTTACAACTTATTCCCACCTGCAAAGAATAATCTTTTAAAACTAACCTGTCATAAATTCTCTACAAATCTACATCTCTAAAGTACCCCCCAAAACAGTTGTCAGCAAAGCAACGTACAATAAAACTCACCCTCCTTACTTTATGTTTGGTTTTCTCTCACTCTTCACATGTTGTTCGTGGGTATAGAAGTTCTTCCTCCACCCATTTTCACTCAGTTTAGGTCTCTATGCCTGCTCCCCAAGGGAAGATGATAAAAGCTACTTCCCAAAGTGTGGAACAATTCACTCTGCTCTGTCCCCTTGCCCTAACCCCTTCCAGGGTTCATCGTGTTGCGTCTTTCAGCTCACAGAATGGGGAGAAGTTTTGAGAAATCAGTCTAGTGAATTACCCCAGTATAGCAAATCCCAGGTGGACAGAAATTGGGCAAAGGAAGAATTGGGAGATGTTTTAAATGATTTGGTTCACCCTGTGCCCCAACAAACTAATGCCTGAAGCTTGGTTGGTGTTCACTGGTCAGAGGAAAAATGTGTTCACTTTAGTATGTTCCTTCACAATATGGCTGAAAAGGGGTAGAGGATTTATAAGATGTTGCTGGTAATTTCCCTCTGGAGAGGAAAAAGGAACTGAATGAGAAAGGGGGGGGGGGGATAGTCTTGATTTCACTGTCCCCTACACATCCAGATGCTATCATTCAGAACTCTAAGGAAACATGAGAAAAATTCTAAAAGCTATCTGCACAGAAACTAAGGTAAGTGGAATTTTAGCTGGTAGCCAAAAGTCTAAAGGTTAGATATGCAGCTCCTTACCCCCTGCAGGGGGAAGGCGGGAAGAAAGTGGCTCTTGACTGAGTGGAGGACTGCATGTGACTGAATTTGCTGTCCCCTTCTTGGCTCTCTGTTCTCAGAATCACAGACTGCCCCCCTCCCTGACAAGCAGACTCCAGCACCTGGTGGGGGTAAGAGAAGACAGAGAAAAAAGGGGAGACAGAAAAAGATAAAAACATCAACAGCCATGTTGCCAAACTAACAACTAAACCTAGGACATGAAAGAAGGAAATTAATAGCACTAACCTAGATAGAAAACAATAAACAAAAGATCACTCAAAACAAAATAGGCCTCCTCCCCTTGGACGCACTGACCAAATAACACACAGTAACCATTACAAAAGATTTAATAATGAGTGTTAATTTTTTTTTAATTACAGGTTTTCATTCTAAAAGTTAGGAAATAGATGTTAAATCTCCATGACTGGAGATTTCAGACAGTGTTTTATTCCAGATGAATATCTCAGCATGTCTTTATTTTGACAATGAATTGTTTTTAAAAAAACAGGGGAAAAATTACTTTTTACCTATCCAATGTTGTGAAAAAGTTAAAATAAGATTTAAATAACAATTAAATTTTAATGGTTAGTTATTAAAAACATCCATAAATATAGTAAACGTGGCAAGCTCACAAAAAAGGAACAGCTTGCATACTAAGATGCCCATATACTTTCCACAGAGATTTAGAGTTGAACCCAACTCCACAAAGACGTGGGAACAATTTCATAATTAATGGGAAAAGAGCACACTGAGAGAATTTACATCGAAGTTCCATTCAACACGGTTAGTATAATGACCCCACTCACAGAATATAATCAACGCCCCATCTAGACTCATAAACCAAATGGGGTAAAATACCGGGATTACAAATCTGCTATCACACATAAGAAAGTAAATCTGAAAGCATCCCCTAACTACTTTGGCTTTTTTAAAGGGGAGAAGGGGGAGGTAAGAATTGCATCAGGGGCAAATGCAAAAATCAACCCAAACAAGCCACGATTTTGTCACCCCATTCCTACAGAGGGCCATCAAAGGGAAGAGGGAGGACTGTCACTCCCCAGAACGTACACGGAAGGAAGAAAACATGGGACTGCACGGAGGGCTGCGGGAGAAACACCACCTGCCCCTCCCGCGGCCACACCACAGGAATCTGTCTGATGGAAGCAGAGGACCACACCGGGGGACAGGTTGGCACCGCGCTCCCTGGGCCACCACACCCCCTCACCACCGGGAACCCCTTCACGCCGAGGTCGCCCCCTCCGCCGCGGTCGTCCCGGTCACACGTACACAACGTCGCGGACCCCCGCCCAGCCCCAGCTCACCCGACCCCGGGCTCTACCTCGCTCCCCCCGCCTCGGCTGAGCCGCCCCCCGGCCTTCGCCCACCCCGGGCCGGCGGGCGCGCACAGCCCGGTCCCCTCCCCGCTGAGCCCGCCGGCCCCCGCTCGTCGCCGAGTCCATTCGGCCGAACTCGCCCACTGAGGTGGAGGGACGCGGGGCGGGCGCACCTCCACCTCGCCCCCAACACCGGGGAAGGGCAGCGCGGGGACCGCTCACCTGGCCCGGGCGGCTCCTTCCTTGATCTTGGCCAGCAGAGCCGGGCTGGGGCCTCCGAGGGAAGCGCGGGCCGCCAGGCGGGCTGAAGGTCCGAGGAGAAGGGGGAGGGGGTCGGGAGCCGCCTCTTTTCTCCTCCGCCACCGCGGCTCCCGCAGCCAGGCCGGGCGCACTCGCACACTCGCCCACTTTCTCACAGCCTCGCGGTCGCTCGGGCTCGCCCTCACGCCCACTCCCACACTCACTCGTTCCCACACACACACTCACACACTCACATCCACACACTCACTCACACCCAGCCGCTCCGCGCTCCCTCACTCGCCCGGCGTGCGCGCGCGCGCGCGACCCCGCTCACACTGCGCGCGCGACGCCGGCGGAGGCTGCCCCGCGCTGCCCCAGACCGCGGAGCCGCGTGCAGAGCCCCCCGCCCCCGGCCCCGCCCTCCAGGCGCCGCGGCAAGGCGGGCGGGGCTCGGCGGCCGGCGCGGCCGGGAGCCGGGCCAGAGGGCCGAACCCGCCCCAGCGGGTCGACCACCTGCGCCGGTGCCCGCCCTCCAGGCTCCCGGTCCCGCCGGCGGCCATCGCCGGCCTCTCGGGATGCGGAGAGGAGATGGAGCGCGCGCGCTGAGAGGGACGCGAGAGCGCGAGAGCGTTTCGAGGACGCGCTTTCCCCACCCGCCCCAAACCGTCCTCACTGAGGAAGGGAAACGGGTGGGGGAGCGAGTTTTGTTCCCGACTCGGAACCGCGAGATTAATCCCTTCCGTTGTGCACCCCGCCTTCACATTCCCTTCTCCGGCCCCATTCAGCCACACTTTGAACCCTGACGCGAGCCCACCGAGCCCCCTGGACGCGGCGTCCACGCCTCTGCCTCCCGCCCAGCCCAGCCCACCTCCTGCGCCCCTTTCCTGACGGCCTCCGCCCAGAATCCGGGAGGCAAAGATTTGGGGACAAAGATCATCAGTGTCTCTGAGGTCCCTTTCCCTGTACGGAGTAAGGACAATGCCTCTGTAGATTGAGAGGCAAATGTTAAAACTACATCATATATCCTCGGAGCTTTCAAGATACACGTTTTAAAGACACAGGCAGGGCATGCGGTACAGCCCGCTTAGAAACAGTAGAAGCCTTGGGCAAATAAGTCACAACTTCCTCCGAGCCTTGGGGAGATACGAGTATATTCCAAGGTTGATGTGAGAATGAAATGAGATTATATATTGAAGACCATTTTGTAAATTCTCAAACTATATAAAAATAAAAGGAGGCTAAGAACATGGACATGTTCAACTACATTACTACTCTGTTAACAAATTTTTCTAGATCCTAAGGAATAAAACCAGCCCGGCCAGTGTGGCTCAGTGCTTAAGCATGACTTATGCACCAGGAGGTCACTGGTTTAATTCTTCAGGAGGCTTTGGGGTCAGTTGAATTTCTTGAGAATACTATTATAAGCATCTCTGGAGTCAGATGAATCTAATTTGAAATCACAGCTCTATTTTCCAGTGCCATGGTATTGTTGCTTAACCTCTATAAGCCTCAGTGTTCTCATCAACAAGATGGAGATTAAGTATTTCATTAAGTTACAAGGATTAATGAGGTAACTCACATATAATGCATTACCTAGTAAGTGCTCAATAAATATTGGCTATTTTAATGCAAGACTTGATAACCAAAATAGTCAAGTATCAATGCTTAGATATGGTAGTAGTATCAAGAGTTATATTTACTGTATGTCCCTATATGTGAGACCAGCCCTATGATGAGTAATATCTTTGAGATGAAATTGAAGTGCATTCCTTGCCTAAATCAAAACACTTCCAGGTTTTTGCTTTCATGCCTAGACACATTAGAATCAAGGAGAGCTTGTAAAACAGATTAAATCAGAATATCTGGAATTGAGATCTAGGCACTAATATTTTTCAAAGCACTCCAGAGAATTCTAATGTGCAGGCACACTGAAGACCAAGGTTTAGATAACAGATATAAAAGTTAACTATATGACTATATTGAAATGTACATGTGATCTAGACATTTCAGATTTCTGCATTAGACTATCATCGCTATATTTGTAGCAAGAAGCTTTTCTTTCATCCTCATCCGAGGATATGTTTTTATTGACTTTTAGAGAGAGGGGAAGGGGAGAGAGAGAGAGAGAGAGAAACTTTGATCTATGTGATAGAGAAACATAGATCAGTTGCCTCTTGTACTTGCCTGGACAGGGAATGGAACCTGAAACCTAGGTATGTGCCCTGACCAGGAATCAAACCCAGAAGACACTCCAACCAAATAAGCCATCCAGCCAGGGCAAGAAGCATTTTAAAAATGTATTGGTAGACAATATGAAGATACTAGGGGAAAACGAACGTTTGATGAAAACAAATCTCTCAGGTCCAATCAACCCCGTGTCTCTGATTCTACTCATGCTGCATTGGTGTGTATCTCCAACAGCAGGGAAAGCATAACTCACCTATCATCTAGATTGCATGTCAAGCAAAAATCTCTAAGTACCTCATAGACACTGTCTGGTGCAAATCTTTTCCTCCTGGGTTTAAAGACAAGAAAACAAGCTGGGAATTGATCAAAACTAAAAGGATAAAGGGAATTATAAACAAGAATGAATCCAGGATTGTTATCATTACCTAAAATAGTGTTCTTTATGGGATACCCAATATGATTACTGTAACATTGATGTGGCTAGAGAAAAGGTAGTGGGTGTCTTATATCAGATCCTACACTAGCAAATATGGGACAGAATGGGCAGCTGCAGTAGATCTAGTTCACCCCACTACTTCCTCTCTCAGAGCCAGTGGGCTAGAACCAGCTTGACAACAACAGTCTTCACAGTTAGAATAGCTAAACACTGATCTAACCTTTTCTCCACCCACATCCCTCTTCCTTTTCCTCCACTTCATTTCTGCATGTTAAATTGAGCACCTCTCGGGACTTCCAGTCAAGATGGTTGCGTAGGTAAACATGGTATCGCACCCTCCCACAACCACATCAAAGTTACAACTAAACTACAGAAAAATAAGCCCTGGCCAGTTTGGCTCAGCGGTTAGAGCGTCGGCCTGCAGTCCGGAGAGACCCGGGTTCGGTTCCCGCTAAGGGCATGTACCGCGGTTGCAGTTTATCCCGGCCCCGGTTGGAGTCATGTGGGTGGCAGCCACTCGATGTGTCTCTCTCACATTGATGTTTCGCTCTCTCTCTTCCTCTCTCTCCCTCCCACTCTATCTGAACAAAGTCCTCGGGTGAGGATAAAATAAAAAAAGAAAAATCATCATTCAAAACCGCCTGAAATTGAGCTGAATGGAAATCCTACAACGAAGTCCTACAAGCAGCCACATGGAAACTGGTAGGAGGGGCAAGCTGGTCCCACACTCACGTGTGGTGGATAAAAATCAGGAGGATACCTCGGCTGATAAAAATCAGGAGGATACCTCGGCTGGGAAGGTCCTCTCTGAGGACTGAGGGGTCCCTGTTTCACACCAGGCATCCCGCTCAGGGTTCCAGTGCCAGGAAGAGAAGTCCCCATAACTTCTGGCTGGAAAAACCAGCGGGAACTGAGGCTCAGGGAGGCTGACGCGGCTGGAGCCCCAGGCAGCTCCTCTTAAAGGGCCTGCAAACAGACTTACACAGACTCTCTCCCTCTAAGCTTGACGAGGCAGCTAGAGGGGCACCAGAGACATACGGGGAAGAACTGAGCTGTTTGGCACTGGAGGGAGGGCTGGAGAGGGGGCTTTCTTAGGGACAAACGTGCTGTCAGAGGCCTTTGTTTATTTGGTGAGCTCTTCCCTGGGGCGGCAGACAAACGCCATATCTGGGACTGTAGCAACCTGGCTCATACTGGTTGCCCCACCCTGGTGATTCCCTGAGGCCCCACCCCGCCCCACCCAACTTTCAGGCCCACCCAAGCTGTTGCCAGTTGCTTTACCATAGGATTGGCCTGTCTTGGATCCTGCTTCAGGTTTTCCTAAATCCTTTCAAACAAGCAGCACCTGGTCTTATCTAGCCCCCATACCTCTCATTAAGTAGTACATAGAAACAAACACAGGGAGGCAGCCAAAATGAAGAGACAAAGAAACAGGTCCCAAATGAAAGAACAGAAAAAAAAAATCTCCAAGAAAAGAACTAAGCAAAATGGAGATAAGCAACCTAACAGATGCTGAGTTCAAAATACTGCTTATAAGGATGCTCAGTGAACTTAGTGAGAACCTCAGCGAACTTAGTGAGGGCTTCAAGAGTATAAAAAAGGACCAGTCAGAAATGAAGGAGGCACTAACTGAAATAAAGAATAATTTACATAGATTCAATAGTAGAGTAGGTAAAGCCAAGAAGCAAACCATCGATTTGGAATATAAGGAAGCAAAAAACACCCAATCAGAACAGCAAAAAGAAAAAAAGAATCCAAAAAAATTAGGATAGTATAAGGAGCCTCTGGGACAACTTCAAGTGTGCCAACATTCGCATCTTGGGGGTGCCAGAAGGAGAAGAGAGAGAACAAGAAATCAAAAACCTATTTGAAACAATAATGGCAGAAAACTTCCCTAACTTGGTGAAGGAAACAGACATACAAGTCCAGGAAGCACAGAGAGTCCCAAACAAGATGAACCCCAAGAGGCCCACACCAAGACACACCATCATCAAAATGCAAAAGTTTCAAGACAAAGAGAGAATCTTAACAGCAGCAAGAGAAAAGCAGTTAGTTACCTACAAGGGAGTTCCCATAAGGCTGTCAGCCGATTTCTCAATCAGGCCAGAAGGGAGTGGCAAGAAATATTCAGTGATGAAAAGCAAGAACCTACAACCAAAATTACTCTCTTTTTTTGTTTTGTTTTTTTTATCCTCACCCAAGGACATTTTTTGATATTTTGTTCAGATAGAGTGAGAGGGAGAGAGAGAGAGAAACATCAACGTGAGAGCGACACATCGAGTGGTTGCCACCCACACGACCCGACCAGGGCTGGGGACAAACTGCAACCAAGGTACGTGCCCTTAGCGGGAACCGAACCCGGGTCTCTCTGGACCGCAGGCCTACGCTCTAACCGCTGAGCCAAACCGGCCAGGGCCCAAAATTACTCTTGGTTGTATCCTGCAAAGCTGTCATTTAGTCAATGGCCATATAAAGACTTTCCCAGACAAGAAAAAGTTAAAGGAGTTCATCACCACCAAACCGTTATTATATGAAATGTTGAAGGGTCTTTTTGAAGAAAAAGATAAAATATATGAACAAACAAAATGGCAATAAATACATATCTATGGACAATGGAATCTACAAACAAAATGAATAGGCAGAACAGAAACATTCTCGTAGATA